GCTAGAACCAACTGGAGCTGAATATTTTCCTTCCCTCAAGCCAGTTAGGCTTTGATAAAACCCCACCGGGTTAGGCTCTAATAAAAAAGTTTCTTCTTGCCCAGCCAAAAAAAAAAAGAAAACCCAAACACAAACAAACAAAAGTTTCTCCTGTGGGCAGGGTTTGTTAAGAACAGAATGCTCTGCTCTATTTCAAAATGGTTGCTTTCTCCATCCCTCAGCCAGAAGTATGAGGGGATTTTTCTCTGGTATTCATTTTGAGTTCACCTTTATGAGTATACTATGCTAGTACGACTGGAAGTATAATTCACAAAGGTGTAAGGGCTCCTCTATGACTGGGTTCCCCTGGAGTTTTTGATTCTCAGGCTTGTCCACAGTGAGGCTTCGGCACTTCATCAATTACAGTTCAGGTTTTTCTATCCCAGCACTGGTTCCCACAGAGGTTTCTTCTCTGGTTATGATTTGCTGTATCTTCCTGTCTCTCCAGTTCTGGGGGCAGCAGTTTTCCCTGTGTCCTTATTTCTGAGGAATTGAAGAATTGTTGTTTTTTGTTTGTTCAGCTTCTTACTTATTAGGATGGAGTGGCAAGTTCTAAGCCCCTTACATAAGACTAGAAACTCTGCCTACTTTTAAAATTCATTGCTGTGTGAAAGTATCAGCTTGCTTATACTTTATTTTCTGGGTTAAGTTACACAACATAAAACTTTTGCATATTTGAGGATATGAGAAGATCTCTGGGTGAATTCCTGTATTTCAAGGATCTACTACTTATTTCCTGCATAAGACATTCAGAGTTATGCAGTTTGTAAGCTATACCCAGTGCCCTAAATAGTACTGTGGTGCTATATAAATACCTCAGATATTTAATAAACATTTGTGGAATAATCTATAAATGAATGAATTAAAGATTTCCCTGGAACTCCTTGGATTCTTTTCAGTTTCACCAGATCACCCCTAGTTTTCTAATAAATTCGATTTGTCCTGAGAAAGATAGAAGGAATTGTTCTAACGTTTAATATTGTTATTAGTTGTTAATATTCTAACTTGGTCTGAATCTTAACCTTGGACACGTTTCTCTTGATTTTCAATTTGAAAGTACAAAATTCAGAAACTCCCAAATCTCTGTGCAGGAGTGTTCTATGCAATAACCACTCTAAGTCTTCCAAACAGTAACAAAAATTGCTAAATTGACAAACAGAAAAGTAAACACAAAACTAAAATGTGGGTAGCTTATTTGTTTAGTAACAAGAGTTAAATTATTTTGTTGTAGATTATCTTTTGCATACTTTTATTCTCAGAGTGTTTTTCTCTGTTATCCGGGAATCTTTAGGTTTTTCCATTCTTTTATTCCCTTTTATTTTTCCAACCTAGGAGTACATGCAGAAGAATACTAATTTTAATTTTAAACTAAACAAATTTTAAGAGGTGCGATATATACTTGGGAAAATTTAACATGAAGGATATATTCCCCAAATAACATTTAATTGACTTAAAATGGATTTATTTAGGTAGCAGCTCTGTTCTACTAATGTGCCCGGTAGTTAATTACTATTTGTTTTAGACTGCAATCCCCAGCCTTAAGCTTAACTATTTTTTACTGGGCTCTGGTTCCAGAGGAGTGGACTAAGAAAATTATTAATGCGGGCCGGGCGTGGTGGCTGATGCCTATAATCCCAGCACTTTGGGAGGCCGAGGTGGGTGGATCACGAGGTCAAGAGATCGAGAACATCCTGGTCATGGTGAAACCCCGTCTCTACTAAAAATACAAAAAAATTAGCTGGGCAGGGTAGCGCGTGCCTGTAATCCCAGCTACTCAGGAGGCTGAGGTAGAATTGCCTGAACCCAGGAGGCGGAAGTTGCGGTGAGCCACGATCGCGCCATTGCACTCCAGCCTGGGTAACAAGAGCAAAACTCCATCTCAAAAAAAAAAAAAAAAAGAAAATTATTAATGCTAGAGAAAGGTGGTAAGAGAGTGAAGGGGTTTTCAAAATCACGTCATATAAGGAGTAGTTAAAAAGAGAAGGATGTTTCCCTAAGGAAAAGAAGACTAGGGTAGATTCTGTATCAACATTTATCTCAAAACCCTTAGCATGGTCCACAGGGCCTGAATCATCTGTCTTCCACTTAATTCTCCAACCTCCTCTTGCAAACATTCTCACTTTCTGTATTTCAGCTCTTTTGGCACAGTTTGATACCTCCTTTTTTAGGCCTTTTGCATATACACTCCTTTGGCTAAGAAGATTCTTCTCTACTTGTTGGCCTATTTCCTACTATAGATCTCTGTTCACATATTACTTCCTCAGGGAAGCCCCAAAACAAAAGTTTCTAGCTCAGGTTTCCCTTGTAGCAGTTATTTCATTTGTGTGCCTTTCACGCTAGACTATAAGCTTCAAGACATAAAGGACCATGTTTGTTTTGTTAACCATTTTTTCACCTAACACAGTGCCTGCTATGTAGCACGCAGGCAGCAAATACTAGGTGAATGAACATCCATGCTTATGCCAACTAAATTGCTGATTTCAACTCAAATGCCAAAAGTTTCTTAAAAACCTACACAGAGGCCGGGCGCGGTGGCTCAAGCCTGTAATCCCAGCACTTTGGGAGGCCGAGGCGCGATCTCTTGATCACGAGGTCAAGAGATCGAGACCATCCTGGTCAACATGGTGAAACCCCGTCTCTACTAAAACTACAAAAAATTAGCTGGGCATGGTGGCACGTGCCTGTAATCCCAGCGACTCAGGAGGCTGAGGCAGGAGAATTGCCTGAACCCAGGAGGCGGAGGTTGCGGTGAGCCGAGATCGCGCCATTGCACTCCAGCCTGGGTAACAAGAGCGAAACNAAAAAAAAAAAAAAAAAAAAAAAAAAAAAAACCTACACAGAAACAATAACAAAAAAAATTGATAGGTGACATAAGCGAATGCATAAGGATAGTAGGAATAACAGGAAATTATAGAAACTGCAGAGAATTGAAGACAGCAGGCCTTATAAAAAAGCATTCAAGTCAAACAACTTTGAAATTCTGTGATGACTAAGCACACAGCATGTTCATATACCACATTTGGCTATAGGCTGCCAGTTTGCAACACCTGTTTTAAGTAAATTGATATATTCATTATAATATTGTAGAGGGCATTTAACGCCATGAGAAAATGCTCACATATACTAAGTTAAAAAAAAAGCATGCTCTGGGATACCTCATTGGTGGATTCAAAAATTAAAAAAATAAATTTTAAAAAGCATGCTTAATACAGAAGTGGAATTCCGATTTCATTTAAAAACACACAGAGAAAACACTGTGTAAAGGTTTGTACTAAAATGTCAACAGTGGATATCTCTAGCTGATAGAATTATATGTTTTGGTATGTGTGCTTTTTTGTAATTTCTTAGTGTTCTAAGATGAACATGCATTGTTTTTGTACTCAGAAATAAATTGTTTTTACAAGGTAGAGAAGTAACTCAGGTGTCAATGTGGAGGATAAAGTAGAGTACAATAGGATCAGAATCAGGGAGATTGACTATTGTAATAATATAGGTGAACAATGGTGAAAGCCAAGTGAAGGCAATGGCTGAGAGGACAGTGGTTATCAATGTTACCTGGTCCTCTCTGCTGAAACATATGCTTCAATTTCTACTGGACTGTAGTTGTTTATGTTGGGCAAATTTTCGGGTGGAAAGCAGAGCATAAGCCAGTAGCTCCCTGTTTTATTTTTTAGCATTTGTTGGCATTTAATAGAACCTCCTTCCCTGTGGCTTCAAGCCACCAGGACACAAGTCCTCCCCACAACCCCAACTTAATCTTTTCCTAAGCTGTTCTGCTACAGAATTTGGCCTTCACGATGACAGGCTGCTTTGGGAGGTTTTCCTTCTCCAGCACTTTATAGTAGCTCTAGAAGAACAGAGAAAAGAATTTACAATACACTGTGGCAGGTACCAACTCCCTGATGGGAATGAGGAGATTCCTGCCAACCTATTTTCTAAAATCAAGGTAGAGTATGTTTCTGACCGGGCACTAATGGGGACACTGGTTGCCCCATCAGTGATCAAGACCAGCAGATTCTGATGACTTCAGCACATTGGACAAGAGCTGTGTCAGGATGTGACTCCAGTCACAGAGAGCTCCCTGTTTTTGAATTCCCAACTCTTCCTGGCAGTATCTATCCCTTATCTCTTGAAATTTCAACCTGGAGTAGAAACCCAGGAAATATTTCTCAGTTCATGGGTTATCATCCCCTTCTGCAGTATCATTGAGACTGTCTCTGTTTTCCTGTAATGATTTCATTCTTAGGCAGGTTCACCCTACATGATGATCAAAGGTGACATGTAGCTTTTGTTTTGTTTTTTTTTCCTTATTCCAGAGGCAGGTGCCTTTTTCTTAACAGTGCTACCCCAAATGATGAGACTATCTCTGATTAGCTTCATTTTTGCTAATCTGCCCATTCCTAAACAAATCACTATGGCTGAATAATAGGATACTTTGGCTAGCCTGATTTGTAGGCTCACTCCTGTGGTATAAAATTAGAATTACGTAATGAACAATTACATCTGGAGAAAGAGGGACAGGTCTATATTAGGATACACTCTCAAATCTGTAGTCTAACACAAAAGAATGCATATGACCTCTAACACAAGTGTCCCTAATTGGCAAGCAAGTATACTCCAAGTGAAGATTCAGAAAACCAGAAGTCCTATCTTGTGGCTTTGCCATCTTTAACACATAGCTTCCAGAGCAAATTTGCTCATCTGCCTCAAGTTGGTGGTGACTGGGGTATCTTGGATTGCTCATATGATGTTTCCATGGCCCAGAGAGCTGGAATAGCAGCACATCACTTCTACTCACATTCCACTAGTTAGAACCTGATTAGCACACCTAACCCATATACCTAATTGCAAGAGAGGCATAAAATATAACTGTGTGGCCAGAAGAATTTAGCATGTACAAGAATCCACTATTCTGATCACTAAACATGTATTTTACCTCTCTTTCCACACGCAGAACATACCCTGTCCCAAGGGAGACAATCTAAAGCTTTATCCAGTCACTGGAAAAGGCTCAAAGTCTAGGATTTTCAGAAAATGCGCAGTTCTCTTCATTAGGTACAGATGTGACCTAAGAACTAAAAAGACAAATTGTCTTCATCGTCACCCCCGTCCCTGCAAACCCAATATACAGTGGTAGCTCAGAGACACACAACCATAATACACTCTCATTCAGAAAAGAAAAATGTGACACTGAGCAATATATGCAGTATAATAATAATGAAATACTGTATAAGCATTTTGCCGCCCATCTCCTTGAGACTAAAGAAAGTTTTGATGAGACCCCAATTCTAGTTTTCAGGAGAAACTCCCTGTCCATTCTTTTCTACAGTTCCCGACAGGAACTTCTGAAATGTTCTTTTTTTTGTCCATCATTCTCCAAAGACACATTCTATGTGGGTACTGGGGAGCTGTTAAGCTTTTATGCTCTATTTTCTACTTATGCAAGACTGAGGTTGGATAGTTACCCACTGTTTTAACACCTGAACAATATATGAACCAGATTTAGTAAGATTAGTAATAAAATTCCTCTAAAAATGTAGTCTTCTGATTGAAGTGCTTCTAGTAACTATACCCAAAGTTCTTTCTCAAATAATTATCAAGCCTAATTTACTGCTTTGATTCCCTGCTCCTATGCAACTTCCTCTAGATCTTTATCATAGCTATCTTGAAGCCACCTGAAATAATGACGTTGAATGGAAAGACCAAATCCTTTTCCTGATCTTTGTTGCAGGACTTAATCTCAAGGGTAACTATAACTCAAAACCTCTCCTAGTTTTTTTTGTTAGAAGTCTAAAAAAAGTCACCTTTTTCAACCCTTCCAAAGAAATATTCCTGTACACTCTCACTTTAGTAAAACTTTATTAAAAGTAAAATATAAAATTCAACACGTAGTATTACTTTTGCTCTTTTCAATCATTTTCTCTGGAGCTAATCTCAACAGATAGGTGATCTGATTTTGAATTATTCCAGGTGACAGTTTTACTAATTACTTCGCCATTGAAAACACAGGCCTCCTTTTTCCAGCCTCCAAATCACATTCTCTACCACTTGCTGCATCATAAGTAAGTTGATGTAACATACTTTAGGTTATTGTCTTGGCATTACTACACTTCTGGTACCAATTTCTGGACTAGCTATGGTCATTCTAGCTCCTATGCATATAAATTCTCAAATCTAAATTTTTTTCTCATATAAGAAGTCCAAAAAGGAGTGTTTCTAATTGGGATGGCTCTCTTCCAAGTAGTGTTTCAGCCACTCATTCCTCTCTTTTCTGCCTTTGGAATCTCCAATATGTTGTTTTCATTGTCACCATGCTCAGAGGCATCAAGTTGACAAAAAAAGAGTAGGGGAGAATAGGGGGACTTCATTAACCCTAAAAATGAGCACATCATTTCCAATTTCCATTCATATTTTCACTGGCTAGAAGTTAATCACAGCCAGGTGTGGTGGCTCACATCTGTAATCCCACCACTTTGGGAGGCTGAGGCAGGTGGATCACTTGAGATCGGGAGTTCGAAACTAGCCTCATCAACGTGAAGAAACCCCATCTCTACTAAAAACACAAAATTATCTGGGTGTGGTGGTGTATACCTGTAATCCCAGCAACTTGGGACACTGAGACAGGAGAATCACTTGAACCCAGTCGGCGGAGGTTGCGGTGAACCAGTATCGTGCCATTGCACTCTAGCTTGGTCAAGAAGAGCTAAACTCCATCTTAAAACAAACAAAAAAAGTTAATCACAGGACTACAAGCAACCACAAGGAAAGCTATGAAATTTAGTTTAGCTGTGTGCCCAAGAAGAAATAAGTTTCATGGGCTAGTCAGTCCCTGCCAGAGGTTCTAAAAGGAAAAAAAAAGTTAGAAAAAGAAATAAAAGAAAGTCACTTTATGAGCCTTGTCCATTTTAATACTTTTAAACCTTATCCTGCTAGTCCCAATAGGATTATCATTTAACTATTATAGTAAAGAGCAAAAACTCATTTTCCTCCAAACAATGATATTAAAGAGGGCATATTTGGTAGCATGACAGACACAGAAACTAGACTGCAGAGGGCTAACAAGTCAATTTCAGAAAACAAAAAGACACTGAATATAGAATACTTTTTGAAGAAAGAAAGCTTGCTTGAGAAGGAAACAACTGAAAGCTAAAGAAGGATTAGCTAAGGAACCAGAATTTGTAGAAGGTTGAAAACAGAAAAGATAATAAATGGATGAGAAAGAGGAGAATTGGAACCAGAATATGTACGAAGAGTTAATCTCACATATGAACAGGGAGTCTCTCATTCCCTGATGCTGGAGAAAAGGAAATATCAGGACATTTGTAGCATTTGGAAAATTGTGAAATTCTAAGTTAAAAGTCATATAATGAAATGGGCTGAGATTTAAAGTCTGCAAAAAGTATTCAAGAGGAAAGGGAGAAAGAAATGCTGAAGAATATACAAAGTAGGAGGGAGGGATGTAGCTGAAATTATAAAATCTAAATCAATAGTGGTGAGATACACAATATAGTGTTCTGTTCCACACTGGAACTCAGCAACGACTGTAGAAGAGGAATAGGCAGATGGTTACCACTCTGTATATATATTTACTATAGCACTTATTACACTGTAAAGCCCCTGGAAGCAGAGACTTCGATTTCACAAATTATGCACACAGTAGGCACATGATGAATTTTTGTTTGAATGAACTGATTTAGTCATTGCCAATTCTGCCATGGTACTATGTAGAGTACTGGCAACTGCCCACATTTCATATGGTATGCCAATGCTAAAAAGAAGAAAAATGCTATATAAAAAAAAATCCAGGCATATTCAGCTAAACTTAGCAGTCTTAAAATGGCAACTATGTCAGCTGAGACATACTTTTAATTTTGTGCCAGTACATCTGTCTTTGATGTTTGCTTCATTTTCCTTATGCCACTATACTCCTACTAAACCAGAAAGGGATAATTCTGAGTTCAATGGGCTCCACTATCATTTCAAAACTCCTTAAAGTTCTTCAGAAACCTAAAAATGAACTCACAGCCCTATCACAGTATTCCTTACAAGAGAAGGATACAGACAATAATCATTACTTATGCCTGCTTCATAGATAGAAGTTGAATCGAAGAGGGCCGAAGAGCTAAATTAGGGTCATTCAGTGAATCGTCTACAAAGGCTGGCACAGACCACGCATCCTTCCCGTGTCTTCCTCCCCTTGGAACCTTGAGTTGTAATGATCTTAGACATCTCCTAATCTACTGCCTTCATATTACACACGTGTAAACTCAGGTACAGGATGTCTATAAGCCAAACCTTAAACTCAGTTAAAGAAGGCTCTTTCCCCAACACAACGCCATCTCTCAGGATCCAAAGCTCTCTCTCTCGGATTGGCGGCGGAAAAAATGACCAGGAATAAAATTACGTTCAGCAGTCCAGAACGAGGCCCCCAACTCCCATATCTGGCAGACAGCCTCCCGCTAACAAAGTGTCTGGACCGCACCTCCGCACCTGCTTCCCACACTGCCCAGGGTCGGCTCCTCGCCAGCTTCCCCGTCCTCTCTACACATCGCAGCCCTGCGCGCCCGCGAGGCCCCAAACGGGGCCCTCGAAATCTCACTTTCGCCTTTCGGCTACCCGCGCGCCACGGCTCAGGCGACGGCTGATGGCGTCACTGCACTTCCGCCTGCGGCTGCGTTCTAGTCACAAGCCAGGAAGGAAAAAGGGAGGGCTGCAGGGCTGTGTGTGCGGGAGATAGCGAGTAGAGAAGAAATCCGGTAGCTTGCGGGCGCTCCGGCGGCAATTGCGCCCCCCTTATCAGTCCCCGCCGTTTCCAGTCGGAAGCTGCCCCAGGCACACTTCCCCAGCGTCTTTCTAGTCTCCTCTCCTCTGGGTCTCCCAGCACCCGGTTTCCTTCTTACACCTCACCCCCCCTTCCCTTGCTCCCTCCCTCCTTCCCTCCCGTCATCAGACTCCCCGCCCTTGGTATCGCGAGACGAGGTGAGAGCTGGCGGAGCGGCGGCGGCGGCGGCGGCAGTAGAGGTGACCGAGGCGGTGGTGGCAGAGGCGGCACCGATTGCTGTGTTGGCCCCAGTGCGGCCGAAGTCGCGGTAGAGCGTAGCCCCCACGCCCCTCCCCCGTCCGCGCCCTCCCTCTTTTCCTGGGGATGGAGAAGGCGACGGTTCCGGTGGCGGCGGCGGCGGCGGCTGCGGCTGCAGAGAGAGAAGGGAGCCCCCCGGCGGTGGCGGCTGTGGCTGCCCCCCCCCCGACGGCGGAGGTCGGCGGCGGCGTTGGCGGCAGTAGCGGAGCTCGTTCGGCCTCGTCTCCTCATGGGATGGTGCGAGTCTGCGACCTGCTCCTGAAGAAGAAGCCTCCGCAGCAGCAACACCACAAGGCCAAGCGTAACCGGACTTGCCGACCCCCTAGCAGCAGCGAAAGCAGTAGCGACAGCGACAACAGCGGCGGCGGTGGAGGCGGAGGTGGAGGTGGAGGTGGCGGCGGCGGCGGCACCAGCAGCAACAACAGCGAGGAAGAGGAGGACGACGACGACGAGGAAGAGGAGGTTTCTGAGGCAAGGGCCTGGTTTCAAAGGAAGGAGGGAGGACGGGATTGCAAGGGATAGGGGCCGGGGCCGAAGGTGGGATGGGACTTGGCGGTGGGACAGATTCCAGTAGGTTGATCTCTTAGGGGCCAGGCTTTCGACTGCCCCCTTTCTTTCCTCGGCCTAAATCGTGAGGTGTGGGAATGTGGGGGAGGGTAGCTGACACGTGGGGGTGGGAGGACCACGGAGTTCACAGAGTTGGTGAACAGCCTGTTATCATGGGATGGCTCACATGGTTAAGGATGGAGGGAATTGGTTAGATTCCCTGTTTACACGCTGTGGGGGTGATCTGCCTGGGGTCAGTAGGGCCACCTTATTCTGGGGCGGGAGTGAGATCAAAGCGGGAGGAGTAAAATAATAGGTAGATGAGTCTCTTGGGGACCAACTAGGAGGTTGATCAACTTCTCCCAGTTATGAGGTGGAGGGGAACAGTTTGAGGGGGGATGTGAGGTTGTAATGGACTCAGAGCTAAGTGTTTGTGTATATGAGGGGCACGTGAGAAGCTGTACTTTTCCATACTGTTCTGCAGGGTTTTTCACCACTATCCTGGCTGCAGAAGTAACCTCACTTCCTAGATCTCTCAAGGATTTTGGATGAACTGATGCTGTACTTTTATACATTTATCAGTAACTTTAAATAATTACAAATGACCATATACATTTATAAATTGATAAAATATATTTGATCCTTACAGATACATACATATATGTCTTCAAATATTTCTTAGTGCGTTAGAATTAAGCCAGGACCTGTTGTCCCATAATATGGGACAACCAAAGAGTCGGCTTTGGAGCCAGGCCTGGTTGTGGTGAGTTGGAATAGGAAAGGCCTCTCGGTTTGTTCTAGTGATCTGGTTTCATAATAACTTTATAATTTTTCCTGGGTCCACAGACAGGCGGCGTTGCAGGACCTTATTCCTCAAAGAAGCCCTTAAAACCCAAAGGCTCAGTAAAACATACCATACTGACAACCAACTGAGAGTTAGCTTTACTGGTTATTAGCTGTCTTACCTCTCTCTTGTCTCCTTCCTGAAATAGAATCTAGAAAAAAATCTTTATCTGGAGAGGGAAATTGTAACTTAGGCAGCAGAGGGAAAACAGCTTTAAAGGCTGATTTTAAACTTAATTTTAAGAGGAGACCAACTGATTGATCTAGAAGCACCACTTACTATTTATTCTCTTCCACAAACGTGGAACTTATTTTGGTGTAAGCCTGGTTTTTGGAAAATTGCATTTATTGAATCCTGGTTTCTGTTGAAATAGAGAAGTACCTTTTAAAGGATTTGACACATGTAGAAGACCAGATTCTCTTTTATCTCAGACTGAGTTATATAGGTAGAGATGTTAAGTGTTGAAGTCTGTATGAAAAAAGTGCCACTCTTTGTTTTTATTCCCATTTAGCCTGTTGGATACTGAGAATAGGTTTGTATTGATAGATTTATATTGGCTTACTTGGATGGTTAGGATACTGTGTTACTCTGGCTGCATTTGAAACAAGGAAAAGAAAGATGTGATAGGATCCTTATCTCTAATAAAATTTGTCATGGTACTTAGAATCATTTAATTGTATGATTATCAAAGGTGAGAAACATTTTACAGATAATTCAGCCCTTTACTTTGAAAAGGAGGAAAACACGGTTTAGAGGAAAGTGGTTGTGGTGGGTAGTAACAAAAGTAGAAATCAAAGTTTTCTAATGGCTCAGACCTGTATATTTTTTAGTGATAATTTATTTCCTTTTATTTTTCTCCTGACAACATTCAGAAAAATAGTGACTGAATAGCAAGGTAACACAGTCCTGTAGCTATGGGCAAAATACCAACATTTAAAATTTTAAATTCTCCCAAAAAATAGTAAGCTCTGGTTTAGAGCAAGGTTATGATAGTTGAATGCAATACTTACGGGGGTATTCTGCTGCAAACTTCACACACTTAGGTAGTTTTGTCCATTGGAATATGGCCTAATAAGCAAAACTTTTAGTAAT